GGTACACGTTGACTCACACGAAGTCACCACGGCGATGGCGGAGAGATGCGCCAACATCAAGGAAACTGCCACCATCTGCGACCTGGTCTCTGCATGCGAACACGACCTGGCCCGCGCGCAGCGGAAGATCATGGCGATCTGCGGAGATAAGCCACGTCGCCCGTGATCCGGAAAGCCTGGCCACATACTAGGGCCGAGTTCTGGGCCACTTACGACGGCAAAGGTGAAGGGAACAGGGACGGCCAAGGCAAGGGAAAATCCGAGGCCACGCCAGGCTGATCCCCTGGAAACGGTCGCGAGGCGTCGCGGGACGCCACCCCCGCCAGGCCCCCGCCAGCCAGATCCCGCACCCCGACACTAAGGCAGGCCAGCAGAGGTGCCAGCAGGGTCGCAGAAAAGACCATATCCCGGCAGATGGCCACGAGGGCAAGCGGCTTCGGGTTGATCTTCATGAGATTAGACAGGCAGTGTCCCAAGCTTATCCAGCAGGACCTCATCGAGATCAGCACCATCGGCTCGAGCCAAAGAGACGAAGCCGACCTGGTCATACTAGCAATCACTAAGGCTGACAGCAGCCACGCCTGGGGGTTCGTTGAAGACCGGCATCGGCTCAACGTTGCCTACACCCAGGCGAAGGACGGTGTCGTCGTCGTCGCCGGCAACGGCAAGATGTTCAGCACAGCCACTGTATCCAGGCTCCACACCCTGGCGGCCTGGGGTGTTGAGGCAAGCAAGCGACTGGCAGGCCCCCGGCGGCGACTGCAGGAGGACATGTAGATTTGACCCGCCACGCTACGCTGTCTGGCGACTCTGCCACAGATGAGGCCACACCTGAAGATAAGGCCAAGATGGCCGCGGACGTAGGGCCCAGAGCCAGGGAGAAGAGTCTGACTAAGATACGGAACCACCAACAGCTGAGCTTCGCTACCCCGGCTGATTCGCCGCTGCCAGACGACCATAACTGGTATCACCTGGCAGAAAACCTCCAGACCGCTGGGACCAGGCTGCAGGTGGACCCAGGGTTCGCGCCGGTGTTCTTCTACGTCATGAGCATCCATCCGCACATGTACGGCCCTGGCGACGTGCCCCGGGACCTGGCGGAACACTGCGGGAAGCTCCTCAGCCACGACGGTGGTGCGCCCCGCGAGGTACCTTCCATCCCAGGAGGCGCCTCGCGTCCTGATCCACCTAACTGTGCACCTGTTAGGTGCGCTTCGTCTGGCGCGCCTCCCACCCCAGGGGGTGCGCCCCACGAGGCGTCTTCCATCCCAGGAGGAGCCCCGCGTCCTGATCCACCTGTACGTGTTCCTGTTAGGCGCGTTGCGTTCGTCGCGCCTCCCACCCGAGGTGGTGCGCCAGCTTCCAGCCCCCACGCTGCGCCATCCACCCCAGGCGGTACGCCTGGCTGCTGCGGGCGCGCCCCTGTTTTTTCAACCTGCCTTTGCACCGGTTTGGTGTCCCCGCGGGCGCGTCGTCCACCCTAGGCGGCGCGCCCCACCTGCCGCCGGCGCGTCATCTACCCTAGGTGAGGCCCCCTCCGCCCGCCCGCCTCCTGGCGGCTAAGTCCTGTCTACGCACTGCTCAGGTGCCTCGCTGCGCGCGCCACCCACCCCAGGTGGCGCGCCCCGTTTCCTCGCGGGTGCAGCATCCCGCCCAGGTGCTGCGCTTCGCGTCGCCTGAGGCCCAGCCCATCTCGCAGTCACCTGCCCACGCGCTGGCTGCGGGTTCCTGGCCTGTGCGCGCGGCGCGTCAGCCGCCACGTCTGCGCGCCCCCCGAAGAGCGCTCACTCGGGCCCCACTGGCCCCAGCCCGTTTGGCGCACGCGCCGCCTCACTGGCCACAGGCCCCGCAGGTTGGCCACCGCCGCCTGCCAGTTGCTCGCGCTGGCCCACCTTGAGGGGCACCGCCGCTGCGGCGCCCCCCCCCCCATTTTTGCCTCTCGGCCCCGCGGGGGGCCCGCGCCCAGTTCCCGCTTCCACTGGGCGCCGCCCAGTCCTTGGCTGCGATACGTGCACCGGCCCTGGGCTCGGCTTTCCGATTCTTCGTCCTCCTCACCGCCGCCCCTTGCCTTTCGCGTTGCCTCCACGCGCCTCTCGGCGGCCGTCGGGCGCTCGGCACTATCCTGGTGCTCCGCTTCGCCTGGCCTCTTCGCCACCCCCCCCCCCCCTTGCGCTGCGGTCGTGCCTTGTCGCCGCCACGCTGCACCACCCTGGGCCACGCGCCCAACCCACCGCAGCAGGCCTGCGCCGCCGCCTCCTGCCACCCCCCGCGGCGGCCATGGCCCGCCCGCTTGGCGGCCCGCCGCTCCCGTTGCCCCCCCCCACCTGCTGGGCTCCGCCCTGCACTTCGGCTGCCGGCTCCTCCCCTGGGTACGCCCGCGACGCCGCCCCGCGCACGCTGCCAGCGACTGCCCTGTGGTTTGGCCGCCCCGCGCACCCCCGGCGGCCTCGCCGCGGGAGTGCGCCTTCTTTCCCACCTCCTGTCTCTACGGTCGGCTCTCTTCTTTCTCCACTCCTCTTGCACGCAAGACAAGTCGCAATGCCGTGGCCCGGATTGCTCGGACGCGCGAGCGGGTCACCTCTGCCGCGCCGCGACGTAAAATGATCCCAGTGCGACCCTACCTAGGAGTTGGAGCCCCTAGGAAAGCAGCATTAGTAGTAACAGTAAAGCTAAACTAGCTAAGCTAAAGCTAAGCTAAAGCTGAGCTAAATCTAAGCTAAAGCTAAGCTGAAGCTAAGCTGAAGCTAAGCTGAAGCTAAGCTAAAGCTAAGCTAAAGCTAAGCTAAAGATAAGCTAAAGCTAAGCTAACACTAAGCTAAAGCTAAGCTAACACTAAATGAAGCTAAGCTAAAGCTAAGCTAAAGCTAAGCTGAAGCTGAGCTAAAGCTAAGCTGAAGCTAAGCTGAAGCTAAGCTAAAGCTAAGCTAACACTAAGCTAAAGCTAAGCTAACACTAAACTGAAGCTAAGCTAAAGCTAAGCTTAAGCTGAAGCTAAGCTAAAGTTAAGCTAAAGCTAAGCTAAAGCTAAAGCTAAAGCTAAGCTAAAGCTAAGCTAAGCTAAGCTAAAGCTAAGCTGAAGCTAAGCTAAAGCTAAGCTAAAGCTAAGCTGAAGCTGAGCTAAAGCTAAGCTGAAGCTAAGCTAAAGCTAAGCTGAAGATAAGCTAAAGCTAAGCTAAAGCTAAGCTAAAGCTAAGCTAAGCTAGCTAAGCTAAAGCTAAGCTAAGCTAAGTAGCTAAGCTAAAGTTAAGCTAAAGCTAAGCTAGCTAAGCTAAAGCTAAGCTAAAGCTAAGCTAAAGCTAAGCTAAGCTAAGCTAAGCTAAAGCTGAAAGCTGAAGCTAAGCTGAAGCTAAGCTAAAGCTAAGCTAAAGCTAAGCTAAAGCTAAGCTAAAGCTAAGCTAAAGCTAAGCTAAAGCTAAGCTAACACTAAGCTAAAGCTAAGCTAACACTAAACTGAAGCTAAGTTAAAGCTAAGCTAAAGCTAAGCTGAAGCTAAGCTAAAGCTAAGCTAACACTAAGCTGAAGCTAAGCGGAAGCTAAGCTAAAGCTAAGCTAAAGCTAAGCTAAAACTAAGATAAAGCTAAGCTAAAGCTAAGCTAACACTAAGCGGAAGCTAAGCTAACACTAAGCTAAAGCTAAGCTAAAGCTAAGCTAAAGCTAAAGCTAAAGCTAAAGCTAAGCTAAAGCTAAAGCTAAGGCTAAAGCTCCCAGGGGACTGGGGGAACCGCGGGGCGGGGACTGGGGGAACCGCCGGGGGCGGTTTACACTGCCCGGCCCCTTTAAGCTAAGAGAGTAAGAACCCTTCTAGGCAGAGCCTAGGTAGGGAAAAATGCGCGGCGCTAAGACGAGAGCCATCGTACCCCACACAATGTTTGCAATTAGGGGTTCTTCCTTGTTTGTCTAAGGAAAGTGGGCCAGAGTGTTGGTCTGTCGTCTATGTTCTCGCTGTCGCCTCCCCGTCGCCGTTTCGTCCCAACCCGTCAGGGTCTGGGTGGTCTGGCGGGCGTGTTCTCGCCGTCGCCGCCCCGTAGCCGTCTCCGCCCCGTCGCCGAGTCATCGCCGCCCGCCGCCTCGTCGCCGCATTGGTTTGCATTGCTCTTGTATTGCTGATTATTTGTTTGCACTGCTTCGCTTTGGTTTGCCTTGCTGCCTTGCTTTGCACATTATACTGCGTAGATTCCACAATATAGATTGCACAACCTAGTTTGCACCACACTAGTTGCACTACGCAGGTTGCACAACATAGACCGCACGACATAGATTGTACAACATAGGCTGCACCCCCTTCATTGCACCACGTTGATAGCATAGCATAGATTGCATCACATAGATTGCGCCAGACAGATTGCACAACCTAGACTGCTAAACGTAGATTGCACCACACAAAATATTGCACAACATAGACTACTGCACATAGACTGCACAACACACGCTGCACAGCATAGTGTGCCAGCAACACGTTCTTCGGGGCCCACGCTGGCTCGCATTCCGAAAAAAGGATACGCCCCCCATCCTTGAAACTGTTGCGAACTGTTCAAACGAATTTGCGCGGCGCTCAGGCGAAAGTCACATTTTGAAAACGACCTGCCCTCCATCCTTGCAGCTGTGTGCGCGGAGCAAAAGCAAGAGCCGCAATTTCAAATCGGCCCGCCCCCTATCCTTGAAACTGCTGCAAATTCCAAGCTTCGGGATCATGAATGGTGAGAAAGTCTCAGGCGAAACGTCCGACCAGCCCTACCGAAACGTCCAGGGGTGTGACAAGTCTGGCCTCTGGAGGAAAATCTTGCTCGGCCAACAGGGCTCCAAGACGGCCCAAGTGGCTCATGAGACAATCCAGGAGGCCACCAAGGTGGCCTCAAGACGGGCCGCCAGAGTGGCTGCCCCGCAGATCGTTACTTAACCGTCGTTCTGGGCTACGGCGTGAGCGCCTCGGGGCTCAAAGGAGGCATACGACGCCAGAGGTCTGGGAAATGCGCCAACCATGGCGTTTTGGCTCGCGAAACCTCGAGGTCCGAGTGCGACTCGGCCTGCGCGTCCACGGTCGCGTTCTGCTGGGAAACCCGAACAGATTTGGGAAAGCATGTGGACGCCCGCTTAAGGCAGGTCTCCCCGACGTGTTCCTCCTCCTCCTCCTCCTCCTCCTCCTCCTCCTCCTGCTCCCTCCTCCTCTTTCTCCTCCTGCTCCCTCCTGCGGCTCCCTATTTCCCCTTCCCTCTCCCAAACCACTTCTCCTCCTCCTCCTGCTCATCCTCCTCATCATAAACAGCGTCGCCGTTATTGACATCATAGTCCTCATCATACTCATACACGTTACCATCGTCATCCCCACCATCATCATCATCATCATCATCATCATCATCATCATCATCATCATCATCATCATCATCATCATCATCATCATCATCATCATCATCATCATCAACATCGTCATCGTCGTCATCATCATCACCAGCATCAGCATCAGCATCAGCATCAGCAGCATCATCATCACCATCACCATCACCATCACCATCACCATCACCACCATCATCATCATCATCATCATCATCATCATCATCATCATCATCATCATCATCATCATCATCGTCAGCAGCATCAACATCATCAACATCATCATCAACAACATCATCATCATCATCATCATCAGCATCATCAACAACATCATAATAATCATAATCATAGTCGTCATCATCATCATCAGCATCATCAGCTTGATCATCATCAGCAACCTCATCAGCATAATCAGCATCATCATCATCATCAGCATCATCAGCATCCTCGTTGTCGTCGTGATTAACATCATCGCCATCGTCACCATCGTCAGCATCATCATCAGCATCATCATTAGCATCATCACCATCATCACCATCATCGTCATCATCAGCACCATATTCATCATCATCGTCATCATCATCATCATCGTCATCATCACTATCACCATCATCATCATCATCATCATCATCAGTTTGGTGGCAATCATTATTATTATCATCATCATCATCATCATCATCATCATCCGCATCCGCATCCGCATCCTCATCCTATCCTCAACCTTGTTGCCACCATAATCACCGCCTCATTCATCATCATCAGCATCATCATCATCACCAGCATCATCATCATCAGCAGCACAATCATCATTAGCATCGTCGTCATCATCATCAGCATCATCATCACCTTCCTCGTCGTCGTCATCGTCATCGTCATCGTCATTGTCATTGCCGACGCCACCAGCTACTCCACAAAGAAGAAAAAACGAAACCATGCACGTCAAAGGTGCATTGGCAAACGGTGAAACAAGACCAAGTGCTGGTGGCGCGGTTATGAAACAGCGACGCGCCGCGCAAAGCACAACATAACTCCATGGCATCGTGCACCACCCAAACACCACCAAAAAGCATGCAACGTGGACGACCCGGGAGAGCAACAGCAGCAGGGGGCAGAGGAGGGAACTACACCTGGGGTCCAGGACGAGGAGGAGCTGGGCCAGCAATCGGACTTTCATAATTCACCCGTCAAGCTGCTCATGATGAAAACTGCATAATCAAATACCATTGCCTGGCGATTCACAGAAGAGGAGGGACAGGGAAAAGAGGAGGGCAAAGGAACCAGGGGGCAGGCGGACGGGGGCCTCAGCGTCGAAGAGTAACACTCACGCGTTGTAGCTAAAGTATCTGGCCACTGTGCGCCATTCTACTCCTGCCAAACGACTGCCCAACAATGCATTCAGTAGCTCTTTGCCGCCCGCAGCGGTGCACGCGAGCGCATGCACCTTTATCTCCCAGGCGCTGCGCGGCCTGACCCCCTGCAGGGCCGCTGGCAGCAAAGGTCAACGGAGTCCGGTCGGAACACGCATTTTCGTACTGGGTACTCTTTCGGCATGCGGGCCATCTAGCCCAGCAGGGCTAACTGCCGGAACATGAGAACCGAGCTGAATCTTTGCACGCCGCAACGTTGCAATATAGTGGCGTTGCTGCCGCGGCTGCAGTAGGAGTGGCCGATACCTGCGAGCCACCGTAGGCAGCGGGCTTGGAATACATCCAATTTGTTTCGTTCTGAGCTGTCCAGCCGGAGCGCGCGCATGCAGTACATCAACTTCGACATGACGCAAGACTCGAATATCGCCACTTTCGCAGCGTCTCCCAGGCACGCTTCCACATTTCAAAGTCGGCACTGGCCATGCCGAGCCTGCGACCCAGTTCTGGGCCGTTCCGTCCACTCGCCCTGAGCAAGCCACTCAAGTAAACCATGCTCTCCTTGTCTGGGATGCGCTGCCCGTCTGGTTTGTCGAGGTCTGTCTGGCAGCGAACCGGCGCGGCTTCGATTTTGCCCCAAATGAAGGCGAGGCCGCAATTTGATCCATCTCGCTGGATCTCGTGCGCGAGTTTGCCCGCGAACTCATCCGGCACTCCCACCGCAAGCGCATCATCTGCATAGTTAGCTCATTGGCAGGGGGGCCGCCATCTCGAACAAACCCATGCGCTTGGAACGCCCGGGCTGCGTCGTGCATCAGAACCGCCATGACGATTGAAAAAAGAACGGTGGCAGAGGGCATCCCTGGGACACGCTGAATGCTTGAGGTCGCGACAAGGACGTCGCCCATGCGTCGCGATCTCGAAAAGTCCAATCTGAATGCGCAGCTCGAACTGCCTCTGCGAACTCGCGCGTCGGGCCGAAGCGGACAAGCGCTTGCGCGAGGCAATCGGGGGCGCGCCGTCGAACGCCTTCGCCCAGTCTAGCGCCAGCATCACATGTTTCCCCGAACGCGCTTCCCAAGTGCTCTCGACCAGGCGTCGGGTAATGAACAGCGCGTCGCTTGTGCCATGGCCAGTCCTTAATCCGAACTGGGCGCCCCAGATCCCCCGTTCCGAATCGGCCTCCTTCAGGCGGTCGAGGAGCACGTCGGCGCGCAACTTGCATCCGATCGGCATCAGGGAGATGGGCTTAGAATTGGCGCAGTGAGCCGCGTCTCCCTTCTTGAACAGGGCGGTCGCTATAGCCTCGCCCAGGCGTCGGGAACATCCTTTTAATCCAGCATCTGTCGCACAAATTCGCGGCCCACTCACGCGCCGCCGCACCTGGCCTGCATGTCGCTTTCCACGGCTCACCGGGGACGTCGTCGCCCCCAGAAGCTCTGTCCCGCTTCAACTTCTTCGCGGCTCTGCAGAACTCGCCAGACCGAATGGGGCCACTAGCCACAGGCAGGTCTGGGCCAATCGGCGACGGGTCGTCGTCTGCGCACACTGGCCGCACAGCCAATTGCACAGCGCAGAAATACTTCGCCAGTGCGTCTGCGCGTTGGTCGCTGTCCGCGAGCGCGCCGGTCGCGCCCCTCACGCGGCCCCGCTTTGCCCGGGGCCCCCCCCTTAACTTTCGGATCTCTGCCCAGTCCCCAGAAGTGAACGGATAATCGAGCCTTCTGCTCCGGTCTGCCTTCGCGGGCGCCTCGATCATGCCGCGGAGCTGCTTCTTCTTGGCGCAGTCGCCTGTCTTCCAGGCGTCGCTCCGCGAGGTGATCAACTCCAAAGTCGCGTTGATGATCCAAGGGCGGAGTCTGGCTGCTGGCAGCGTCGGCAGGCGCACCTCTACCGCGCGCCAGAACGCGCTCACCATGCGCGCGCTGAGTTCATCGAGCGCGCACTGTTCGGCGTCAGTCTCCGCCAAACTGTCAGCAAACTCCGCGCCGAAGTCTCCCCGATGGCGGCCCCGTCGCAGCGCTTGCAAGTCTGGCTTGGGCATATGCGTCGGAACATCACTTGGAATTTCCACGTGAATGCGACATAGCAGCAATAAGTGGCGCGTCGCCAAAGGTGCATCTCTCCAGCTCCTCACGCCCAAAACACTTGCGCGTCGTTCTGCTGGAAAGACCAGAAATCGATTTGCCCAATGCTCTGGAAGGGCTGCGTCTACAGGCCAGGACCCAACGTCATTGCATGTTATCTGCCTGACCTTCGCTAGACGAGCGCGTTCCACTACTCGCAAAATAACTATTCGCAAGTGGGCTGGATCCCCCGCGGAGGATCTACGATACATTACATCAAAGCAGACATGCGTTTTCCGGCGCTTGCGAGTGGGCACTCTGCGAGTAGTGAAACGCGCTCGGCGATTCGCGACCCCTCCGCCCACGTCGACTCGTTCTGAAGAAATCTCGCCCCCCCCAGACGACTGCGCGCGGCTGATCCAGGGTCGCCTCCTTATTTCTCTCGACGACCGCCGGGTCGCAAGCCCGGCGCGCTCGACGGACGCGCTGGAAAGCTGCCTGTCGGACTGGACCAGAGGCGCCGGGGCCATCGCACATTCCGATGACCACGCGGCTGCCAGAGTAGAGCCCCTCGGCGACACGATCTGCGGGAGGGGCCCGACCACGGGCGAGCCCCCCCCCCGTCGCGGAGACACCCTGCAGAGCACAGGCAATGCCGATGCACGACCTGGGCCGCCCCCAAAGCCCCCTGGCACCCCGCCACAGGCGCAGCCGGGGCCGACGCGACTCTGCCGCGGCCTCGCTGGCGGAGGTAGTCCACCTCGCAAGGGGCCCCTTGCCCCGGCTGCTCGTCGGCCCCGAGGTCACCGCCGAGAACGGCCTCCTGCGCCCGGGCGCCCGGCAACTGCGGGAGGTGGAAGAAATGTTCGACGTCGTCCGTGGAGATCGACAAGCACCCGCCCTTCGGGAGGAACAGCTCCGCGCAACGCGAAGCGAGGGGGGGGGGGCGGCGAGGCGCTCGAGGCAGGCGCGTCGGCCGCTGGGGATCTCTGCGGCGAACGCGCACCAGCGGACGACCCTCCTCAGGGACTTCTCCAGGGAGTTGCGCCGCAGCCCGTCGATGATCACCCTCAGCCTGTGGTCGCCCTACTTTTCCACGCCGCCGCGCCGAAGAGCCCAGCGCGGACAGGGGCGCCCACGCGTGCTTGGCGGCTCGCCTCACCCAGCAATGAAAGGCAGCTACTCATGGACAGCCTGGGGATCCAGGAAAACATTAAATAGCATGAAACATGTAGGAAAAAAATTCTGCGAAATAACTGAAAAATGTCTCCGCTGCGTAATTACGCAGAAACCGCTCGCTGGATTAGCGCAGTGGCACGCGGCACGCGCGAAACGCAACTGCGCGCGCTCGCCCAGGGGCGACCCACCCCCGACAACTCGAACGCCTCGCTTGCGGGTCGACGACGCAACCCCGCCGCACATCTCCGACGCCGCATCTGCGACGGCAGCGGCGGCGGCGATACGGCGCAAGGCAGACAAGGGGGCAGAAGCAGCAGCGCAGCCACTGACAGGAACGACGGCGCCGGGAAAACGACGACGAGGCCCGCGAAACACGCGCGCGAGGAGAAGGGGGGGGCAGCCGCGCGACATCGCCTGGAGAATAACACTGGGCGAAGAGGGGGCGCAGAAGGCGGGGGGGGCGACTGGAACTTGAACGGGGGCGGCGGCTAGAACGGCCTCGATGGGGCCGCGGAGAACGGGCCCTCGGGGCGAGGGGGACAGGGCGATGAAGTGGTCAATGGAAGCGGGCCCGGGCCGCGCGAAGCTATTACGGGCTACCCTACATTACTGCGATCCAAACTCTCATATGGCCACTGCGCCATCATCGCGCGAATGCCGATGGCAAAACGTCCTGCGTGCCCCCGCGCACCGACGACATCAAGAGCACGCCGCCGCGGCCCGCACGGCGGCCGCCGCTGCGACTTGCGAGTGAGCCAGCAAGAACGCCCCCCAGGCTGCAGCCGACGACGCGGACCTCCCTGCCCCTCGCCCCTTCTCCCCCCCCCCTCCCTCCCCCCCCCCGCCCTCCGATCGCGCCCCCCCTCCTTCCCCCTCGCGCGCTCTTCATGCTGCCCACCACCCTTTTACATGAACCCCCTTGTTCCCCCTGGCCGACTGCGCCGATCCCCCGCGGCGACCCCAATCCACGGCGCCGCTCGCGCCCAGCCCAGCCCGCGCCGATTGCTCCAGCGCGTCGGGCAGCACATTCGAGGGCCCCCAAGATTGCTGCTATATGGCCACCGCGACCCATGGCGGCGAAAGATACCCCCCAGGCTCCGCGCCCGACGCCGGCACAATCGCCGCGGGGCATCGATCGGCGCGGCCCCCGGGCGGCCGCGATTTGTTTAGGTGCGTTCGAGGTGCCCCAATCGAAATGCACAAACGATGCAAAAACAAAACAGGCTCCGCATGTGCAATCCCCGAGGGAATTCGGTGAGCCCATTTGAAATAAGAAAAAATTAAGCGGCCGAAATAGGCGAGACGACCGCCGACTCCGCGCGCGCATGTTTCGCACATGTTCTGTCGATTGTTTGTACACTTGCTGCACAAGCAGCACGCAACAAATACGCGAAAAATAAATGGCCGGGGAGGCGCCTATTTTTTCACACAAAAATGCATACTAGATGCGCGACACATAGGCCCGCCCCGATCAGTGACACGAAATGACTTGTTCCCCGGGGCAGCCGGCGGGGGCGAGGTGGAATGGCGCGACGCCCCCGGGAGGCCCGCGACGGAATGCGGCTGCCCCACAGGGCCTCGCCCCCCCCCCCTGCCCCATGCACCCTTGGGATGAGAACCCGGCCGCCTCCCGGCGCTAGGCAGGCGGGGGGGCGGGCGGGGGCGCGGCGCCAGGCGAGGGGCGCGGCCGCGCGGCTCAGCAGAAGACGCCTGGGCCGCGCCACACCCCGCGGCAATGCGCCCAAGAAAGGTTCGCCGACATGGGGCGGTGCCTCAAGGGCAGAGACCCTGCGAAAAATGCCGCGGCCCCGAAAGGGGCTCCAGCCGTCGCCCCTGATGGGGGGCCCACCGAAGCCCCCAACGGCGGCGGCCGCGCGCGGTGCTCGCAGGCCCCTCAAGCATTGGCCCAACCGAAAGCCGCAGTGGCAGAGTCTGCGCGCCCTGCTTGCACACCCCATTGCGCGCTTCGCGGCACCGCAGGCGACTCCGTCGAGGCCACGGCAGCAGCGGCCGCGCGCGGCACTTGCACTCCCTGGGCCCCATCGAAGGCCCCAGCGGCGTCATCCGCGCGCGGCCCTCGCGCGCCCCTCGCGCGTTCGATGGCCCGAATAAGGGGATCCGCCAGAGGTCCCAGCGTCAGCGGCCGCGCGCGTACTTGGGCACCGCTCGCGCGCGTCGCGGCCCTATGGGGGCCATCGCCAAACCGACCCCGTCAGCACCGCTCGCGCGGCGGCCCTGGCCCACGTCGGCGCGCCCCTGTCACGCGCCCCCTGGCCCCCACAGAAATTCCGCCAGAAACTGAAATCAGAACAGCGGGTGGGCGGGCCCTTCGCCAATAATTTGCTGGACGCGCACGAGCGACGCCAGGCCCCGCGCCGCGCCTATTCGCGGCGCGCCCCCGCGGCGAGAGACCCCAAAATTGAACCGTGGAAGCCGATCCCGCGCGCCGCTGCAGGACGCACGAGCGCCCTGAGCTGCCGCGACACCTGGCTTTCCCAGCAAGGCACTCGCTACGCGCCGCAAACACCGCTGGCGCTTGAGCGCTTACACATTATAGCATAATGCGATGTAACTTACACATGTCGACTACATGTTGCTGTTCACCCATTTCCGCAACCTATTTTACGGTAACTTTGGAACTATTCAACATGCCAGCACCTCTCCATATTACCTTCGTTCTAAGCCCAGCGGCCAACGCGCGCGCAAATGGGGGGCAGCCGGCCGGGAAAGCGGCTCGGTCAGAGGTCGGAGGCGCGCGGCGCGCGGAAGATGGAGCCGCGCTCGGGCGGCGCGACCGCTTCCTGGAGCCCGCTCGTCGCCCCCCTGGCAGGGATGCCGAGGCGCCCCGCGCGGCGCGCGCTGCCTCCCAAGCGCCAATCGTTCACGAGCCCCGTCGCGGCCCGACGGGTGCCAGCGACGCCGCCAGTCAGGGGTGGCACCCAGAACCCGACGCGGCAACAGCCAGGAAACTTGTCGCCAAGCCGGCGAAACAGCTGTTGCTTCGCGGTCAAGGGCGCGGCGAGGCAGGCCGACGCTGGCCCGCCAGCGGGGCGGGGCGCCCGAGCGAAAGCCAATGGAGGTAGGCGGCGGACGCGTTGTCCTTGCGCCGCCGGCGTCTCTCCCGAAGCCACCACGCCCGCATTTGCGGCGACCGCGGCGCGGCTCCGCTCTCCAGCCAAACCGTACGGGAACCCGCAAGCCATGAGCAGCTCTGGACAAGGCCAGGGGGCACAATGCCCCGCCGGGGTGAATCTGGAGACCCCCGACTCGAGGGAGGCACAATACGAGGTCAGCAAGCCAGATGCAGAAAGAGCGCAGATCGCCGAATCGACGGCGGCCCGCGAAGTCGGAGTCGGAATCGCAAATAGAGACGACGAAACCCCGACTCCTGAGCTGGCCCCCCTCGCTGTTTCTATAAACTGCCGGGCCCATCTGGAAACGATCGCTTGCCTCCCCCGTCGCTGCCGCCGCCGCCCTGCTCCTTCTTGCTGGTCCACGTCTTGGACTCCAGGTCCCAGACGCGGCCCTTGCTGCCGCGGTCTATTGAGAGCGTTCTCGAGAGCCTCTGTCTGTCTCGCGCAAGTTGGCGACTCAGGCTGCGAACTCTGCGGGGCGCGCCTGGCACCTCGCCGCCCGACCCGATCTGGGCCGTGGATTTGGGAGGAAGGCGATCAGCTATACCAGCCTCCTGGAGACTGCCGCATTCGCTGACTGCTGCGTGGCTTCCAGAAACTGACCGATCTGGTCGCCGAGGAGGTCGCAACGCCGGGGCCTGCGGAGCGCGCGGAGGGGCGCCATCACCCCCCAGAAGCGCCCATGATCCTCGAGGCGCCCGAACCTGATCCTCCGCCTGCCATAGATCATCATGCTCCACGGCGCGCCTGCGGCGTCGCAGCCGAGTTCGGCGAAGGTCGCGGCGTCGACGTGGGCGGGCCACTTCTGCGGCTCGCGCTCGATGGCCCTCTTGAGCGCCAGGAGACCGCGGCCCCTCGGCCCCGTTGATCCTGGCCACTGGGCCCACCTCTGCGGAGCTCGAGGCTGCGCCCCCGGGGCTCGTCGCCCTTCGCCTTCGCGCGAGCTGGACGGCCCCGAGATCGAGGTCGGCCCTCCTCCAGACCTGCTCGCGCGGAGGGGGCCCGTCGGCCCGCTGGCGCAGCCCGCTCGCCGTCGCCAGGGCCTCCTTTGCCGCTCCGCGCTGGGAAGGCGCCGGGGCGGACCGCGCCCCCAGCAGCTGCGCCGCCGTTCTGGGCGGCGCCGCGGGCAAACTCCGACAGCGGGATCGGATCGCGGCGAGGGGGGCCGGGACCGGCACACCCAGGGAGGGCCCCGCCCGGAGGGGCGACACCGGAACGGCGGGGGGGGGCCCGCAGGAGCAAAGCCACGGGCCTCTGTGCTCCCCGCCTCGACCTGCTCGCAGCTGGCCGCCAGTGGCCTCCGGCAGATCGCCCATGAAGCTCCCCGGGGCGCTTTGCAAATCGTCGCGCGACACGGCGATGCGCCGCGGGGTCGCGGCCCTCCTGGCGCCGCCCGCCGCCGGCCCTTGCCTCGCTGCGCGGCCCGCGCGCCCGCGCGCCGCAGAAGGGCGGCGGGCTTGGGCTTTCCTGCGGGCGCGGTCAGCCGCGGCGTCGCCCGCTGAGGAGGGCACCTGGCGGGTGGGACCATGGCCCCCAGGGCCACCAGCAACCCCCTCTCCCTCCGCGCCCGGGTTGCCCTCCACGCAGGCGCCACGCGGACGACCTGCCCACTCCTGCGCGGCAGCCTCGCGGGCTGCGTCCCATGCCCTCGCCATTGTGCTTGTCGGCGGCGAGGTGCCTCGCCCCCTCGATCTGCCAGTCGACGGAGAGCTGGAAGCCGATGCGCATCGGGTCGCCCTGGGGCGCGGGGTCGGGGAACGCGACGGGCCCGAGCAGGATCCCGCTGTTCCAGTCCTCGGGCTGCGGGGCGAGATCGGCCAGCTCCAGCAGGTCTGGCCGAGCGGGGCCGCCTGCTGAGTCGAACAACTCGATCACAGCTCTCGGCGGGTCTCGCCAAGAAAGCGGGCGACACCGTCCTGCAGGCCACATCTGCGGGCATCTCCTCGCCTTGGGCCGACCGCAGCGCCGCCGAGACAAAGTCTACGGGGGCGAGCGAGCCAGCGTCGAACGGGAGACAGACGGCGGGCACCACGACGAGGAACTCCTCCAGCTCGCGCCGAGGTCGTCCTCGGTGAGAGCGTCGACGGCCGCGGGGCCTTCGAGCTTCACGAGCTTGACGCCGACGACGCGGGTTTCGCACCCGCGGCGGTGCCGGCGGCACGGGCCCCAGCTACTGGCAGCTCGAGAAGCCTTGAGCGAAGCAGGAGGCCCCCCGTCTGCTGCAGCGCACGCGCGGTCAGCATCGTCATCGCGTCGAAGACCTTGACGGTGTATGTGAGAAATCCCGCTGCTCGTCGCGGTTCCCATTGATCGCCTCGCTCACCGACAGAAGCCCACGCATGCGATCCCGCCAGCTACTGGACTTGCCGCCCTCGGGTCTGGCGACGACTGGGTGCCATGCGACAGCGCGCCTCCTCTGTGAACCCCGACGAAATCCTCGCTTGAGCCTGGGGCGGCCCAGATTGCGAAGCAATGGTTGCTAACAGCAGGGGCGGCCTGAGCCGCAGGTTCGGCACCTGCCGCCCCTATGGGCGGCCCGCTTTGGGTACTGTGCGGAATGACGACCCAGAGGACCCCCTCGGGGTCCTCCCCCGCCTCTGGCGCGGCCTCCTCGCCGCTGGAGATGGGACCTTAGTAGGCCTCGAATCCAAAGGCAAGCTCGTGGACCGACCGCGCGCGGGCGGCGGGCTCCCCACCCATCAACCGCGGGCTTGCCCGGCGCGCAGCACGGAGCGGGCGCGATCCGAGAAAGCTGCTGATCGTTTCCTTGTACTATCAGAACCACTGTGTTCACATCATCATCATCATCATCATCATCATCATCATCATCATCATCATCATCATCATCATCATCACCACCACCACCACCAGCAGCAGCAGCATCAGCATCACCATCATCATTCCCACCGTCATCATCAACCTCATCACCAACATGATCAACATCGTCGTGATCATCATCATCGCCGTCGTCATCATCGTCTTCATCATCAGCAGCATCATCATCACCACCATCACCCTCATGAACGTCCTCTTCTTCGGTGTCCTCCGTTCCTTTGAGATGACTACTCCCTGTCGCACCCCTTTGAAATGACTACTCCCTGTCGCACCCCGTGGCCGGTCGAAAGAGCGGGCCGAGCGCTTCGCCCGAGACCTCCGCACCATCTATGACCGTGAAGCGTAATAATCAGCAACGGTTTCACACATTGAGGGCGGGCGGTTTTCAACATGTGGCTCTCGCCTTAACGCCGCGCACATTCGTTTTCAAATGTGCCAGAGCTTCACGGATTGAGGGCGGCGGGTTTTCGAAATGTGATTCCCGCCTTAGCGCCGCGCCCATTCGTGTTAAACATGTGAAAGAGTTTCACGATTGAGGGCGGGTGGTTTTCAAAATGTGGCTCTCGCCTCAGCGCCGCGTGCATTCGCCTTAAAATTCAAGAGATTCGCGGATTGAGGGCGGCTTGTTTTCAAAATGTGGCTCTCGCCTCAGTGCCGCGCACATTCTTTTTTAAACATTGTCAGAATTTCGCGGGTTCCCATGTTCAACGTACCAGAAATGATGTTGGAAGGATTCAGGATTGTGAGGGTGCGACAGCTACGTTGATTCGCCGTGCTGAAGTCCCAGGAATGGTGTGCTGGCACGATTCAGGATCGTGAAGACGCAAGGAGTCAGATTGATCCGTGGCGTTGGAGTCCCGAGAATGGTGTTTTGGCATGTTTCCAGGTCTTCAAGCGGTTGTCCCCCAACGAGGCATTTCCCTCAGTGGAAATGAACCCTCGCAAGGGCCTATGAAGAGGGAGCTCGGAGGGAGGGTTGATTCCAACATCGTTGATGAGTCCTGGGTTTACCCTCCTCCTCCTAGTCCTCCTCCTCCTCCTCCTCCTCCTCCTCCTCCTCCTCCTCCTCCACCTCCTCCTCCTCCTCCTCCTCCTCCTCCTCCCCCTCCTCCTGGGCGCGCGAGGCGCGGTGCCAAAGGCGCCGCCCTGCGGCCCAGAGCTGGCGGAGACCCGCCACCCGCGGACGCCCTGAGCTTTGCTCCGTGCCCCGCCCCCTGCTCTGGCCTCCCCGGTCTCGGCGTCCGCCAGGCGGCCCATCCTCGAGCGGCTTGGACTCGCAACCGGTGGCCTGTCGCTGATCAGTTGGCGCCGCGGCGCGCTTGGCGGCGGCGGCGCGGCGGAGGATCGAGGCTCGAGGGTCGAGGCTAGGAGGCCTATCGCCGATCTATCGATGGCCCTCCCCCTGAGCCTGAGACGGGACGGGGGGCCGCGGGCAGCCCAGGACCCGGCGGCCCAGAGACGGCCTCGCGGAAGGCACGCCGCAGAGGGCCGCCGCAGAGGGCCGCCGCAGACGGCTGCCGAAAGGGCCGCCGAAGAGGCCGCCGAAGAGGCCGCCGAAAAGGCCGGCGAAAAGCCGCCGAGGGCTACGAAGGCCGCCAGGGGCCGACGTAGAGGCCGCCGGAGAGGCCGCCGGGGGCCGCCAGAAATGCCGCCGAGGGCCCCCGAGGCGGTCCCGACGAGGCTGGGCCTGCACGGCCGGAGGGCTGCGCCGGCAGAGCGCTGGGTGCTCGGGCCAGAAAACATGCTGCGAGGATGACATGCTGGGGAGGGGTCGAGGGCTCTGGCACCGCAGGGAGGAGGAGGAGGAGGAGGAGGAGGAGGAGGAGGAGGAAGGAAGGAAAGGAAAGGAAGGAAGGGAGGTAGGTAGGAGGTAGGTAGGTAGGTAGGTAGGTAGGTAGGTAGGTAGGTCGGTAGGTAGGTAGGTCGGGTGGGTGGGGGGTGGGTGGGAGGGTGGGTGGGTGGTGGGTGGGTGGGTGGGTGGGTGGGGTGGGTGGGTGGGTGGGTGGGTGGTAGGTGGGTAGGGTGGGTAGGTGGGTAGGGGTAGTGGGTAGGTGGGTAGGTGGGTAGGTGGGTAGGTGGGTCGGTGGGTAGGTGGGTAGGTGGGTGGGTAGGTAGGTAGGTAGGCGGGTAGGTAGGTAGGCGGGTAGGTAGGTAGGCGGGTAGGTAGGATGAGGAAGAGAAGATAGGAGGGAGCGAGGGAGGGAGGGAGGGAGTGAGGAGGAGGAGGAGGAGGAGGAGGCGAAGGCGGAGGATTTGTTTGGACATGGGCTGGCGTCAAACTCTGACTCTCATCGAGGAGCGGCAACAGGAGGAGGAGGAGGAGGAGGAGAGGAGGAGGAGGAGAGGAGGGAGGAGGAGGGAAGGGGGAAGAGGAGGAGGAGTTCGCTCGACACTGTCCGCAGCTGGAAGCTCGAAGCTCGAAGGAGAAGAAGAAACAGACGGATGAGGCTCTAAATACCATGGCCTACAGGACCAGGGTGGAGGGGGCTTGCGAGGACGCCCGGGTTTGACCCGAACCTTCCGCGGCCTCGAGCTTCGAGGACGAGGAGAAGGAGGCGAGCGTAGCATTTTCAGACGAACCGATCCGCATCGTTGAGGCGTTCAGGAGGAGAAGGAAGAAGAAGGACGGGGAGAGGGGGAAGAGGAGGGAGTGATGAGGAGGAGGGCGGGGAGGAGGGCAAGGAGGAGAGGGACGAGGAGGAGGAAAGGAGGAGGAGGAGAGGGACGAGGAGGAGGAAAAGAGGAGGAGGAGGAGGAGGAGGAGGAGGAGGAGGAGGGGGGAGAGACCGAGGCGGGAGCAGAGGATCGATCGATCGAGCAGTCAGGCCACTTCGGGGCTGCTTCGCGTCAACTAGACCGACTGAACTGCTAAAATCTACGCAGCACGGCGGGAGCAGACGAGAAGGAGGGAGGAGACGAAGGAAGAGGGAGGAGGAGGAAGAAGGGAAGAGAGATTGGGGTGATATCCTCCTGGGGGAGGGGAGCGCCACAGGAATCGATGCACCAATATCCGATGGTCTTGGCTCTCAGTGTACAAAGAAAGTCCGTCTCATGATCTATACACCGCCACCGTCCCCTTAGGCCGCCCAGGGACAATCCATTAGTGTGTATGTGTGTACTTGTGTGTGCGCGCGCGTGTGTGTGTGTGTGTTTGTGTGTGTGCGTCTGTGTATGTGTGCGTTTGTATGTGTGTATGAGTGTGCGTGTGTGTGTGTGCCGTGCTGTGGTGTACTGTGCTGTGATGTGCTGTGCTGAGCTGTGCTGTGCTGTATTGTGCTGTGTTGTGATGTGTTGTGATGTGTTGTGTTGTGTTGTGTTGCGTGTGTTGTGATGTGCGCTGGGTCAGTTTTTGGAGCCAGGAACGTACACTATTCCTTTCCAGGGTCCAAAGCTACCAATCCCTTAAGAGACTGAGCCAGCTTGCCGGCGAGGGGGTAATTAACGCTGGGCCAGCTGTTCGGTGGGAGGTTTCTTACTCATAAGCGGGACCGTATGTTGTGTTGTGTTATGTGTGATGTGTGTTGTGTAATGTGTGTGTTGTGTGTTGCGTGTCTGCGTGTGTGCGTGTGTGCGTATGTGCGTGCGTGTGTGAGTGTGTGTGTGTGTGTGTGCGCGTGTGTGTGTTTGTGTGCGTGTGCGCGTGCGCGTGCGCGTGCGTGTGCGGGTGCGTGTGCGTGTGGGTGTGCGTGTGCGTGTGCGTGTGCGTGTGCGTGTGCGTGTGCGTGTGTGCATGCGTGTGTGTGTTTGCGTTTGCGTTTGTGTCTTTGAGTGTTTGTGTGTTTGTGTGTTTGTGTATTTGCGTGTTTGTGTGTTTGTGCGTTTGCGTGTGCGTGCTTGTATGTGTGTGATTGTGTTTTCTTGTGTGGTTGTGTGTGTGCGTGTGTTTACGTGTGTTTTTGTGGTTGCGCGTTTGTGTGCTAATGTGTTTGTATGGTTTTTGTGTTTGTGTGTGCGCTCTGTGTGTTTGTGAGAACCTGGCAGACATGGATGGCTTCCTCTGGACCCCCCACCGTGAACGATCACATGATTTTTGCACGGCCTCCCTCTTCCTGGGAACGTCGGGCGGCTCTCCGACAGGACGGGGGGGTCCCGACATGGAACCGATCCAAGGGGAACCCGGACGAATCCCTGCCATGCAGCTACCAGCTCGGGCCACCGTACCTCTTGCATTGCGAGGACAGCCCTAACCGCTGGTTTCTTATGTCAACGGAACAGGTCAAGAATCGCGTCCTTATTCTATTGCGTGAAACGGGGGCGGACCGTACCCGCCCGGCTGCTCGGGACGGGCTCCTCCTGGTCCACGCCGGGAGGCAACAAAGGGAATCGGCCGACAGCGAGCGAGCTGTGCCCAGCTGGGGAAGGCGGCCACCGGCCCATGGGCGGCAGCACGGCGAAAGGCCCCCGCCCCAGAGGC